GTGTATAGGTTTCATAACATTTGGTTGAGGCAACTTAAGTTAGAGAACAGAAACTAAAAATTTTGCATTTTTTTCCATTTATAAAGGGGCACAACACGAGAATGGTTGAAGTGACCCCACCAAAATTCAAACTTGATCTTTATTTTGTGGTAATAAGCATTGTGTATATGTTTCATGAAATTTGGTTGAGGCAAACTTAAGAGAACGGAAACTAAAAATTCAGCAATTTTTCCATTTTTGAAGGGGCATAACTCTAGAACGGTTAGAGTGACGCTACCAAAATTCAATCTTGATCTGTATTTTGTGGTAATATGCATTGTGTATAAGTTCCATAACATTTGGTTGAGGCAAACTTAAGTTACAGAACGGAAACTAAAAATTTTGCAATTTTTCCATTTATAAAGGAACGGTTAAAGTGACAACATCAAAATTCAAACTTGATTGGTGTTTTGTGGTAATTAGCATTGTGTATAAGTTTCATAACATTTGGTTGAGGCAAACTTAAGTTAGAGAACGGAAACTAAAATTTTGTAATTTTTCCATTTATAAAGGGGCATTACTCTAGAACTGTTTAGAGTGACACTACCAAAATTCAAACTTGATCTGTATTTGGTGGTAATAAGCATTGTGTATAAGTTTCATAACATTTGGTTGAGGCAAACTCAAGCTAGAGAACGGAAACCAATTTTTGGATGTACAGACGGACAATGGTAAAACTTAATGCCCCCTCCGCTATGGCGGGGGCATAAAAATGTGCTTCGCCGAGCGCAGCTGGATACGACCGCAGAGGTCCAACCCTGAACAGTTGGGGCAAAAATGGACAAAACATTCAAGCTTGATACAGGTCTGAATTTGGATTGTAATTAAATATTTGACACATTTTAGGTTTCTGACACAGAATAAATGTAGTCAAAGAACTTGAAATTGGTTATATGATTTGAATTTATATTCAATTGAAGATTTCTTGCTGTTGTGCAATCCACTGTGCTGTTGCGCACTACTTAGTAAATCTGTTGACTATATACAAAGAATAAGCAAAATAAATTGTGACCCCCAATTTTTTTTTGGAACATTGATAATTTCTTAAATCTTGAGGGAAAAAAATTTATCCCCCTCCCAATAATAATATTTGAAGAAATTTTCTTTTTGTAAAATGTGGTACAATTTAAGAGACATCAATACACTTAAACACAAGTTATTGTCTGAAAACTAGAAAAATGCTTGTTTGGGCCCCTTTTTGGCCCCTAATACCTGAACGGTTTGGGCAATTAGGCCGCAATTAAAAATATCTTTGTTTCCCCTTACCCTACCCACCATTTTGGAAGTGGGTAGGTAGGTAGGCTTTTTTTTTTTTTTTTTTAGAAAAAATCCCTGAAATATATCTAACACACAGGAAAACACAGAAAAACAACAAATTGAACTTTATTGATACTAAAACAACATACTGTATGTATAGATTATAACATGCCCTTTTCCATATTGGCCCTGGTATCATCCCGAGACTCCCATATCGGCCTCGAGGCTTTAGCCGAGGGCCGATATGGGTCGAGGGATGATACCAGGGCCAATATGGAAAAGACATGTTATAATCTATTTATCACATATTTAAGTTCTGCAGAAAAGAGAAAAAAGTTCAATTATAACAATTTAATGAAATATAACAGGTAAAATCTTAAAAATTTTATCACAAAAGTTTTATCACATTTTTAAATTTAGTTTTTATCATTTACACTATAGAAATTTATTGTCACATTTCCACTTATTTCGGAATCAGGGCACATTTGCTCTACAAAGTCTGCCGTATCGCTTTCCTCCACTGCGATGAAACGAGTAACGTTATTGTTCGCCATTGTCGTTAAGGACGCAATGACGTCACGTCATTTGGAATCAGGGCACAATAACCAATAACCTCTTTTTTGCCCCGGGCAATTTTGAGGTTATTACATATGCAAAACCCAACGTATTCGTAACAAATATGTGATAAAACGTAATATGCATGACTAGAAGACCTTACAATTTCAGACAGGCCTCTACAATAACTTTTTTTTCAACTTGTCCAGTAGGACAAGTACATACCAAAACTTACTTGTCCGAATGAAATTGTAACTTGTCCAAAAAAATCTTAATAATAACCTTTTTTGCATTTTAAGTTGATTCAAGGAACAAAAAGAATTAAAACAATAGAACAGAATTTGATTTATATCTTTTGAAATACTATTCAAAAATATGAGTCGAATACAATTAACTGAATCTAGTCATGTCACAGAACTTAGGTTCTACTTGTAGTTCCTCAATGCCAAAGTCTCATCAGATTCTGCACATAAGGCACCATCTGATAGGGCTGTCAATGTACACTCATTGGATTTGTATCCTGGTTTTTTAAAGTTGAAAAAAGTTTATTCAAATGCAATAAATAAAAAAAAGATGAGGTATGATTGCCAATGAGACAACTCTCTGCAAGAGACCAAATGACACAGAAATTAACAACTATAGGTCACCGTATTGCAAGTATTGTTTTTTTTTTCTACATATGATCAAATATGATTTTGTGAATTTAATGGTAAATAATTTTTCATTTTTATCTAAAAAATATTTTTGTTAAAAAAATTACCGGTATGTTATTTATTATAAAGCAACAGAATAAGGTAGGAAAATGAGGTACTGATTTGTCTTGGTCCCGAAATGTCTCCTGCGTTGCCAAACTGTCTATTAATCATGTCTATTAAATATGTCTCCTATGGTGCCAAACTGTCTATTAAACATGTTAAACTTGGAGCCGAATCGTTTCTGAGCTTGTGACGAACTGTCTTGTAAAGTTACCTTATCTACAAAGCGCATCGCTGATTCGGATCAGTAAGACTGGTTTCCGAGAATAGTATGCATTTTACCTGTTAAAAAGTACCTGACAAAGAACCAGTTTTAAATTATCGATTGCAAGTAAACATGTCTTGTTTTCATCAAAGTTGGATTAAATTTATTTTATGCAGAATAATTTTACTTGTCCCTTCGGACAAGCTTGATATAGTTTTTACTTGTCCGACCCTTTTTCCCTCTGGTACCGGACAATCGGACAAGCGTTATTGTCGAGCCCTGTCAGACTAGAAAATGTTTGTAAATATCAATGTCTTTGTGACTTAGAGTAGACCACATATAAATTGAGACACGGTTTTATATTTTTCTTATAGTTTTATTAATTCAATTGAAAATATAAAACCCTAACGAGACTGCTACCTAGTAACATTCGATGCAAAAAATATGTACACTAGTTTTTCATTTAAGGAAATACTAGAAGCCACAAACCGTGATCCAAGCGAGTATGACTACGCCTATTAAGGCTTATTCTAGAAAACTATGAATTTATTTTTAACAATAAACTTTACCATGAAACCTTGGGCGTGTTTATGTGCGGATCAGTATTCGCTGAGTTAGCAGACCTTGCAATGTTTGTTAATTCTTGAACACATTTTACAACGCTTTCAACACAGAGAAACAAAATGATAATGATAGTTGAAGTTCACATACGAATTTTCCTGTAATGAAACAATATTCTTAGACACTGTCATAATTATACAAAGGAGAAAGATTCTTTAACGAAGGCAAAGTATGATACAAGACATTAAAACCAATATCAAACCAACTGAAACATATCAATATCTGCACAGACACTGCTCACACCCAAAAAGTGTTTTCATTGAAAGGATTTATCAAGGGTGAAGTATTGAGGTATCTCAGAAACACAAGCAGCAAAACTGATCTTAAAAAACAGTAAGAAGCTCAAACGAGGCTATCAAATATCTGAAATCAACGATTTTTTTTATCAAACACAAAATACAGAAAGGGAAAACTTGCTAACACATCGCCCAGCGAAATGGGAGCAACCGCTAGTAATGTTAACAAAATTCAACCCATCTATACAGAAACTAAAAATATAATAATGAAACACTGGCATCTTATTTCACAAAACCCTGAATGTGTGACCATATTTAATCATCAGCCCATTATAGCTTATAAAAGACATAAGAACTTACAAGAACTTTTATCAAAGCATTAGCTGGTATAGTCATCTCGACTTTTCACAACACAATATGATACTGAGCTCGAAAAAAATCAACTACCATTTTATCCAAAGACAATTAGTGTATGGTCCAATATCACATACGAAATGAAACAAAATAGCATAAATAGCACGCCAAAATATACAACTTATTGAGTCAACCACTGATAAAGGCGAACTCAGGGATTAACCACAAACACGGCAGAAACACCAGGCCTAACATTTAAGCTCAAGGGTGAGCTCGGATGCGCAATCGTAACTACTCGGCCATTCTCGCTACGCATTTTGTTATTGGAGGCGTAGCTAGAATGGAAGAGTAGTTAAGATTGCTCGGATGCATTTATTAAAACATTATTCCATTCCAATTTCAGTATCCTTGCATGCGTTGTTTACCCTTTGCTGCAAACACACGGGCGACAATGATTTCGCGGAATGTTGAAAATACGGACCATTCAAGGAAACAAAATTAAAAAAAGGAACTTTTGAGCGAAACGAAAAAAAAAAAAAAACAACAACGTGATTTTTGAATAAAATTATTTCAGTCGGCGGATTTTTAGAGGGTCGGTCGGGTAAGGGGAAACAAACTTAATTTTAATTTTGGCCTTACCCCCAAAATGAATCCCAACCTTCTACTTGTGGTATTGAACCTTGTGGTACAATTTCAGAGCAATCAAAATACTTATACACAAGTTAATGTCCTGAAACTAGAAAAATGCTTGTTTTGGGCCCCTTTTTGGCTCCTAATTCCTAAATGGTTTGGACCATCACCCCCAAAAACAATCCCAACCTTCTTTTTGTGGTATTGAACCTTTTGATTAAATTTCATAGAGATCCATACACTTAAATTAAAGTTTTGTTCCGGAAACCAAATGTCTTCGGACGACAACGACGTGAAAGCAATAAACGAACACAAATTTTTTGCGGTTGTATAAAAAAACAACATTACCTGCTGAGATGTTATATCAACATATATTTTACTAAGTGTGGCCATAGAACACTGTGAACCTAGAGGCTGTCCTAATGTCTTCTTAAAACTCCAGTCTACAATTAAAATGTATTCAATAAAATAAACATTGTATCAATATTTTTACTAACAAATTAAAGAAGTCGCCTAGAAGTCACTATCATCAATTGCTGATCATGTTTTCTTTTTACAGTTTCTCTCTATCTTCTTTAGCTTTTGCTAAACAGCTACGACAATAACCCCTAAAATAAATCCCAACCTTCCTATTGTGGTATGGAACCTTGTGCTAAAATTTAATAGAGATCCATACACTTGTACTCAAGTTATTGTCTTAAAACCAGACAAATAATTGTTTTTGGCCTCTAATTACAAAACAGCTAAAACAATAACCCCCCAAAATTAATTCCAACCCTCCTATTGTGGTATGGAACCTTGTGATAAAATTTCTTACACATCCATACACTTATACTAAAGTTATTGTCTGGGAACCAATTTATTTTCTATGAACCAGTAAAACTAACCTTTTTTGGCCCCTTATTACAAAACCGCTAGGACAATAGCCCCAAAAACAATCCCAACCATCCTTTAGTGGTATGGAACCTTGTGCTAAAATTTCATAGAGATCTATGAACTTATACTTAAGTTATTGTCTGCGAACCAAAATGTCTTCAGACACCATAACATAATACTACCACAAATAAAGGTCGTATAAAAATAGATATGATATAGGCAAATTTCAATTGAAAGGCCAAGATGTTTGAAAATTTAGATTTACGGAAAGTGGCAAAGTAGAGAAGAGCAAAAAAAATCATACAATTGTGAAACTATAAATAAATTTGCGGTCGTATAAAAACTCATACTGTATGGTCGGCTATAAAAGGCCCTGACATGAAAAATATGAAACAATTCAATTGAGAAAACTAACGGCCTAATTTATAACAAAAAACCTAGTTTATTTCAATTTATTAAGAGTGTCTCCAAGGGAGATAGGTATCATACTAAATGATGTAACCCTCTTTTAAATAAGATATTTATTATTATTACCATCAAAATTTTATCCACCCCCTTTGCACCCTACATGTCAGAATTTTGAACTATCTCATTATTTCTTAGCCATGCATTGAATACATACTGAGGAGGGGTTGGATTTGTCAATTTACCTGATGGTATTATCACCCAGGCCAGTGAAACAACATTGGGAGAGGCATGTCAAAATATCATATGACTCTGGTGCCCCCAAATAATACTTTGCCAAACCTCAGCATATTTAAGGACTATTGTGTTTATATATCCAACAGCAGACTTAGAGTTCATTTCGAGTAGGTCAAGTAATACCAATGCATACTTTTTATTGGTTTGTCAATCACTTGTAATAATTCTTGAATCATAGGAGTTATAGATCAGTGGATTATTTCTCTTGATTATAAAACCTTTTACTTACACACTTTTTAAAGTACTGTTTTTAATAATCTTAACCAGTTTTGACAAAAAAAAAAAAACCTAGCTTAAAAATTATGAAAAAAATGTCTGAGTAACCTAATTTTATCACATATGCTGCTGATCAACTTTCTTTAGTAATATAAGTTAAGAAGATTCTTCATACTAAAATAACTAATATTAAGTCAAACATATCATAAAACAAACCTTGTTTTCCAACTTTTGAGGAGGATGTGTCAAAGACAACACTCAATGTCTGCTTAAGTTCAACTGATGCTGAAGAACATTTTGGTTCCTGCAGAAGACAAGCTTAAGTGTGATAAAATTCTGTAAATAACAGTTATGGTATAATTTAATAAAAAAATTAAAGAATACTTGTGTTATTGCTTAAACACTTATTTCTTACGATCTTATGATTGTCAAATTTAAGGTTGATGTGTTCATATATTATCACTTATATTATAATTGTCCCTATCCTTTTACTCATTAAATGCTATCTATTTCAGGAAGCTCCAATTCGTAGTTCCTTCAGAATAATGTGATGAAAATTTCATACTTGGCAGTGTTCTCCACAAAGCCTTAAAGCACCATGATACCTTGGTGCTACATTATTTACCCTGGTGTTAACTAAATAGATTTAATTACAGTATGTATTGTAAATGTGGTGCTATAATTTAAGGAAATCAGTGCTATTTCAAATTACTGGGAAGATCATTGCATGGCCATTATGTGTGTGAAAATCAAAATAGATCAAAAGGCAAGTTCCTTTAACAATAGTCTTTAATGAACATTAAAAAATGTGGAAATATAATATGTAACAAGAAATAGGCTGTCAAATTGATAGCAAACAATGTTTTTTGTATTTAAATCTATCAAGGATTATGACTCCTAAATGGCAAAAGTGATAAAAGAACAGAGTTCCAATGTCCCCCCCCCCCCCCCCCCCCCCCTTCGTTGCACATATTTTATCTATCCAGGGGCAATAACTAAAAAAAAAAACACTTTTTTTGTTGTTCTTTAAAACAATTTATAAATAAAAAGCATCTTTTCCATAAATTTAATATTTCCAAGGGTCATAACCCTTTTAAAAAAAGTCGATCGTCCACCATTATAGAACTTGTCCGAGATATTGCTGATATTAAACTATAGTATAAGTTTTATAAAAATCTGGCAAGAATTGTACCCGTGAGAGCACTAACGAGGCCATTTCCATAAATTTAATATTTCCAAGGGTCATAACTCTTTTAAAAAAAGTCGATCGTCCACCATTATATAACTTGTCCGAGATATTGCTAATATTTACCTATAGTATAAGTTTTATAAAAATCTGGCAAGAATTGTACACATAAGAGCGCTCATAAGGCAATTTTCCATATAATTAATATTTCCAAGGGGCATAACTCTTTTTAAAATAATTGGTCGGCACTGATTTTCAAACTCATCAAAGACATTGCTGATATAAACCTATGATATAAGTTTTATAAAATTCTGGCAAGAATTGTACACACGAGAGAGCTAACGATGCAATTTTCCATATAATCAAAATTTCTAAGGGCATAACTCTTTTAAAAATAAAATGCTTCGCTTGGCGCAGCTTGATACGACCGCAGAGGTCGAACCCTGAACAGTTGGGGCAAGTATGGACACAACATTCAAGCTTGATACAGCTCTGAATTTGGATTGTGATTAAATATTTGACACAGCATAGGTTTCTGACACAGAAAGAATGTGGTCTAAGAACTTCAATTTTTTTAATTTACCTATTATGGTCCAATGTCCAAAACCAAAATACATGGTTAGATTCAGCATATCAAAGAACCCCATATATTCAATTTTTGTTGAAATCAAACAAAGTTTAATTTTGGACCCCAACTTGGACAAACTTGAAAACTGGTCCCATAATCAAAAATCTTAACACATGTTTAGATTCAGCATATCAAAGTACCCGAAGAATTCAAATTTTGTTAAAATCAAACTAAGTTTAATTTTGGACCCTTTGGACCTTAATGTAGACAAATTTAAAAAACGGGACCCAAAATTAAAAATCTAAAAACACGGTTAGATTTGGCATATCAAAGAACCCCAATAATTAAATTTTTCATGAAATCAAACAAAGTTTAATTTTGGACCCTTTTGACCTCAATATGAACCAATTTGATAGCGGGCCCACAAATAAAAAATCTAAATACATGGTAAGATTCAGCATATCAAAGAACCCCATATATTCAATTTTTGTTGAAATCAAACAAAGTTTAATTTTGGACCCCAATTTGGACCAACTTGAAAACGGGGCCAAAAATCTAAATACATGTTTAGATTCAGCATATCAAAGAACCCCATATATTCAATTTTTGTTGAAATCAAACAAAGTTAAATTTTGGGCCCCAACTTGGACCAACTTGAAAACTGGTCCCATAATCAAAAATCTAAACACATGTTTAGATTCAGCATATCAAAGAACCCCAAAAATTCAATTTTTGTTAAAATCAAACTAAGTTTAATTTTGGACCCTTTGGACCTTAATGTAGACCAATTTAAAAAACAGGACCCAAAATTAAAAATCTAAATACACGGTTAGATTTGGCATATCAAAGAACCCCAATAATTCAATTTTTGATGAAATCAAACAAAGTTTAATTTTGGACCCTTTTGACCTCAATATGAACCAATTTGATAGCGGGCCCACAAATAAAAAATCTAAATACATGGTAAGATTCAGCATATCAAAGAACCCCATATATTCAATTTTTGTTGAAATCAAACAAAGTTTAATTTTGGACCCCAATTTGGACCAACTTGAAAACTGGGCCAAAAATCTAAAATCTAAATACATGTTTAGATTCAGCATATCAAAGAACCCCATATATTCAATTTTTGTTGAAATCAAACAAAGTTTAATTTTGGACCCAACTTGGACAAACTTGAAAACTGGGCCCATAATCAAAAATCTAAACACATGTTTAGATTCAGCATATCAAAGAACCCCAAGAATTCAATTTTTGTTAAAATCAAACTTAGTTTAATTTTGGACCCTTTGGACCTTAATGTAGACCAATTTAAAAAACAGGACCCAAAATTAAAAATCTAAATACACGGTTAGATTCAGCATATTAAAGAACCCCAAGAATTCAAGAATAAAACCCCATTGAAATTGATCAAGAAATAAGCAATTTATACGAAGTATCTTCTTTTGCACAATACTGTGCAATTGAATATTTCTTGCTATTGCGCAATACTGTACAATTGACAATTTCTTGCTATTGCGCAATATTGTGCTATTGGATATTTCTTGCTATTGCGCAATACTGTGCAATTGAAGATTTCTTGCTATTGCGCAATACTGTGCAATTGAAGATTTCTTGCTATTGTGCAATACTGTGCAATTGAAAATTTCTTGCTATTGCACAATACTTATTATATAATAATTTACACATCCTGTTTGGTGTGTATCTCCTACCATATCATTATTATTTGCTTTTAAATATAAATCAGAAATAACCAACTTAAAATGGAAAATTTTAAAAGAAAAAAAAAAGGAAAAAAAGAAAAAAAAAAAAAAAAAAAATCCCCCCCCAAATTTTTTGAACCCCCTTATGATTCATCACCCCCAAACTCAATCCCAGCCTTCCCTTTGTGGTATGGTACCTTGCAGTACAATTTCAGAGAGATCAATACACTTGAACACAAGTTATTGTCTGGAAACTAGAAAAATGCTCATTTTTGGCCCCTTTTTGGCCCCCACTTCCTAAACGTTTCGGTCAATTACCCCCAAACTCAATTCCAGCTTTCCCTTTGTGATATGGAACCTTGTAGTACAATTTCAGAAATATCCAAACACTTACACACAAGTTATTGTCATGAAACTAGAAAAATGCTTGTTTTTTGCCCCTTTTTTGGCCCCTAATTCCTAAAATTTTGAGGCAATTACCCCCAAAATCAATTACAGCCTTCCCTTTGTGATATGGAACCTTGTGGTACAATGTCAGAGAGATCCATAAACTTACACACAAGTTATTGTCTGAAAGTTACAAAAATGCTTATTTTTGGCCCCTTTTTGGCCCCTAATTCCTAAAATCAATCCCAACCTTCCTTTCGTGGTATTGAACCTTATGGTGAAATTTCATGGAGATCCATTCACTTAAACTAAAGTTAGAGTGCGAAAACCAATGTGTCTTCGGACGACGACGACGACGACGACGACGACGACGACGACGCCAACGTCATACCAATATACGACCAAAAAATTTTTAATTTTTGCGGTCGTATAATAATAGATCGGCACTGATTTTCGTTCTCTTCTAAGACATTGCTGATATAAACCTATGATATAAGTTTTAAAAAAATCTGGCAAGAATTGTACACATGAAAGCGCTAACGATGCAATTTTCCATAATTAATGTTTCTAAGGGGCATAACTCTTTTTAAAATAATTGATTGGAAAAATGATTTTCGAACTCGTCCAAGACATTGCTAATATAAACCTATGATATAAGTTTCATAAACATCTGACAAAAATTGTACACATGAGAGCGGTAACGATGCAATTTTCCATATAACTAATGTTTCCAAGGGGCATAACTCTTTTAAAAATAATTGATCGGCACTGATTTTTGAACTCGTCTAAGACATTGCTGATATAAACCTATGATATAAGTTTCATAAAAATCTGGCAAGAACTGTACACCTGAGAGCGCTAACAAGACCGGATGAACGGATGCCCAGTATTTCCTTGTCCCCCGCAACGCGTTTTGCCGGGGACAATAAAAGATATGGTAATGTTAATACAACTGAATGTTAATACATGTACAACTGGATACCACATATCATTGACTTTTCATAAAAAGTAAAATAACAAAAATACCTAACTCCAATTAGGGAAAATTCAAAACGGAAAGTCACCCTTATCAAATGGCAAAATAAAAAGCTCAATCACATCAAACAACAAAAAGAGAGGCGGAAGATACCAAAAGGATAGTCATACTCAAAAGTTGAAAAACAACTGACAATGCCATGGCAAAAAAATAAATCAAAGCGCGAAAGCTCTGGAAAAGGCATTTGCCGTATACTAAGAAATATGCATGTATGGAAGTTTTCCCCCCTTATAGAACAAGTACATGATTACTTCTGTTATCACAAGTCACGAAATAATTTCATACCAAATATCACCAGTAAACAATTATCAGTTATGTTAAAACACTTTTACCTGTATAAAATATAAAATACAATGATATACTGAAACTTGATAATCATATTGAAATTTCCAGCATCTACTTATTGTCTCAGGACTCGACTAGC